TGGAGACAACTGAAATCCTCATATATTGTTCGTAGGAATGGGAAGTAGTTCAGCTATTGTGAAAAACAGTTTGGCAATTCCTTAAAACGCTCTACACAGAATTACCATAAGATCTCACAATTCTGCTACAGGGTATATATATCCAAAGTAACTGAAACAGGTGTTCAGACAAAAACTTGCACATGAATATTCAAATCAGCACTAGTTACAATCACTAAAAGGTGGAAACCCAAATGTCCATCAACAAATGAATGGATAAAGAAAATGTGGTGTTATCCATACAATAAGATATTTTTCAGCCAACCTTGAAAATATTATACTAAGTGAAAGAAGGCAGATAGAAGAGGCCATGTACTATATGATTCCAATTACATGAAATACTGAGAGTCAGCAAATGGGTACAGACCAAAACAGATTAGCTGTTGTCAGGGATTGAGAGGAAAGGGAAAATGGGGAGCAACCGCTTAATGAGTAGTTTCATTTGGGGTGAAAATGTTCTGGAACTAGATGGTTATGCAACACTGTGAGTACACTGTCATTAGTGTTTAGTTTTATGTTAGAGGTATTCTATCGCATTATGGTATAACACACAATGATTCCACTTATATGAGGTACTAGAAAAGTAACATTCACAGATGGAGAAAGGAGAATGGTGATTATCAGGAGATGATGGAGGGGGAATGGAGAATTTTAATAGGCACTGAGTTTTAGTTTTGCAAGATGAAAAGAATTCTGGAGACTGGTTGAACAACAATGTGAATGCATTTAACATTACTGACCTGTACACTTAAAAAATGGTTATGATCATAAATTATATGTTTATATGTATTTTACCATAATTTAAAAAATAAACTAAAAATTCACAAAGATATTTCATGAATACTAGAAGTATTTCTCATGAAACAAAATTCCTTAACAAAAATATTAGCAAATTAAAATCAGCAACATATTAAAAACAAAAACAAAACCCACCATATCCAAGTGGTGTTAAGCTAGGAATGCAAGGTAAATTAAACATTCAAAAACCAATCAATATAATTTACTACATTAACAGAGAAAAAAAGAAGCAAATCATATTATCAGTATAATAAAGAAAAGTCATTTGACAAAGTTCTACTCCTATTTATGATTTAAGAAAAACAACTCTCAGCAAACTAGGAACAAAAATAAATTTCCTCGACCTGATAAAGAACATCTACAAAAAACCTACAGCTTACATTGTACTTGATGGTGAAAAACTTAATTTCAGAAACAAGAAGGCAAAGACATCCACTTTCGTTCAACATTGTAGCGGAGGTCCTAGCCAATGCAAAAGGGCAAGAAAAAGAAAGTATCTGCAATTGGAAAGGAAAAAATAAAATTGTTCTTATTTGTAGATGACATGATCATCACTGTATATTGAAAATCCAGAGTATTCTGCCAAAAAAACTATTATAACAAGTGAATTTAAAAAGTGTGACATCAAGCTAATATTTAAAAAAATTCTGTTTTACCATATGAGAAATGAAATAAAATTTAAAAATGTATAATAAAAATTTTAAATCATGCCATTTACAATAGTATCAAAAACATAAAATACTTAAGAATAACATGTGCATATTTTATAACTTGTACCATGAAAACTACAATTCACTACAGAAAAAAAATTTAAGATAATCTAAATAAATGGAGAAATATGACATATCACCAACCAAAAGACTCAATAATGTGAAGATGTCAATTTTCCTCAAGTTGATCTACAAATTCAATACATCCCAAACAAAATTCTAAGAGGCAACTTTCCTTTAAAAATTAACAAGCTAATTCTAAAATTTATAGTGAAATGCAAAGGACCTCAAAAAGCCAAAACAGTTTTCAAAAAGAGCAAAGCTGTAAGATTTACCTGATTTCAAGACTTATTGTAAAATTACAGTAATCAAGTCAGTTTGGTATTGGCCTAAGGGCAACACAAAGATCAGTGGAATGGAATGAAAAGCCCAGGGAAAGACCATGCAAGGTTTTTGACAATGAGGCGGAGGTAATTCTGCAGAAAGGGTAGTCTTTTCTAACAAAGGAAAAAAATCTTTGCTACCTTGGGATAGGCAATATTTTTTAGATAAAACACTAAAGATATGAACCACAAAAGAAAAAAAATGAATTGAAGTTCAACAAAATAATGAATTTTGCTTTACAAAAGAAAACATTAAGATAGGTGCTCACTTCAGCAGCATATATACTAAAATTGGAACAATACAGAGACAATTAGCATGGCCCCTGCACAAGGATGACATGCAAATTTGTGAAGCGTTCCCTATTTTTGGGGGGCTGTGAGTTCAAGCCCCATGTTGGGTGTAGAGATTACTTAAAAATAAAAATCTTAAAAAAACAATAAAACATTAGGATAATTAGAAAGCAAAGTTGGGGGAAAAACATATATGACAACTTGCATCCAAAATATATAAAGAATACCTCAATAGCAGAAGAGAAAGGGATGGGTCAAAAAAAAAAAAAGGCAAAAAATTTTAACAGATACTTAAAAGAATGGCCAATGATCCTATTAATCTTAGGAAAACACAAATTAATTCCACAGGGAGATATCACTACACTCATTAGAATGGCTAAAATTTAAAGAAATGACAATACCAAGAGTTAATGAATATGCTCAACGATGGCATTCTCATCAGTTGCTAGTGGGAGTGTGAAATAACACATTAGGAAACAGTTTGGCAGTTTTTTCTGAAGTTAAATATACACTTAACATAGAACTGAGTAATTCTATACCTAAAGTATTTGCAGAAGAAAAATTAAAACATCATATCCATACAAACACTTGTACATGAATATTATAGAGGCTTTATTCATGAAAGGCAAAAACTTGAACAACCCAAAGTTCTGTTTAACAGATGAATAAACAAACTAAAGTACATGCAAACAACGGAATACTAATCAACAATAAAAAATGAACTACTCCTACACACAACAAACTGAAGAAAAAAAAATCTCAAAAACAGTACTCCCTGAAATAAGCCAAATACAAAAGGACAAATATTCTATGATTCCATTTATGTGAAAGATCTAGAATAGTCAGATTCACAGTGACCCAGAGAATGGTGGTTACCAAGGAGGGGAGAGTGAAGAGTTATTTTTAATGGATACAGAGTTTCAATGATGAAAAAGTTCTGGAAATGGACTGTGGAGATGATGTCACAACAATATGAATGTACTTAATACCACTGAACTGTACACTTAAAAATGGTTAAGATGATAAATTTTGTTATGTATATTTTACCACACACACAAAATCATTTTGCTGAGGGCAAAAAGCCAGACAGAAGAGAGTACATACTATATGGCCATTTACATGGCATGTCAGAACATGTAAAACTAAGCAATAATGACAGAAATCACATGAATGGCTGTCTGGGATGGAGAAGAGAGGAAGGAGCTGACTGTAAAAGATCTCAAAGAACTTTTTAAAGTGACTTTACATTTGCCAAAACTCACTGAAATATACACTTAAAATGCATACCTATTTTTAAAAATGCATACATACTAGAGTATGTAAATTGCACTTCCGTATATTTTCAAATAAATAAATAAGCTTGAGGAGGGAATGAAATGTAACAGAGTAAAAAATAAAAATCTATAGACTCTTTTGAGGAATGAGGTTATGTTGTGGTGTACAAAGAAGGTAGTAGCTGGAAGCAAATATGTGGTCTGAGGAGTATTTCTCAAGATGAAAGAGAAATGACTGTATTTAATGCCAACGGGAAACCAGTTATTTGAAACTGAGGACAATAATGGCAACTCAGGACCATTAATAGATGAATTCAAACTAATGGTAATAGCTTTTCAAAGGCATCAAGCATATGTAAGGATATCCATACCATCCATGTGGTAAAAAGCCTTGTGAGAAGATCACCTGCAAGTATGGAGAGTAACAAATGTTTTCCCAGTACAAAAAACACTATTTGAAGGGAAAGAAAACTCTACTTCAGAGACTAGAACAGCCAAAGAATTCTAGTGAAAGTAATTACTGCTTCTCTCAGGTGGCATATCAAATTTGGACTAAGGTATGTACTTGGAAATAGTCATACCCTGTATCCTAGCCCCCAAAACATCATTGTTGTCATCTTTATAACTGTAATTCTATGATTTAGTAAGGTAATTTTTTAACTTCAGTCTTTTTATAAAAGCCTCTACAAACATTATTTTAAGGCCTCGACATGAAATAAATTTTGAAACACTTCATATAGCTATTTTTAATTAAAAATAAAGAAAGAAGGAAAAGACCTACTATTTCCAAACATGGAATTCAATGACAAAAACTAGTACTATTTTAATCAACTTTTAGGTATGGCTTTTCCTTAAATTTGACTTTTACAATTTATATTAATACATTCCTCTATTGACATCTTCATTTGTTAAGTATTTTCAGATTCCAAAACTGGATGTGTATATTTACAAAAAAATTACTCCAAGAGATATGCTTCATACACATCATTAATAAGATGGAATAGTACAACCAAATTGCTATGAACTATTATTCTCAAAATTCAAAATCTGTTATTTTGAATCCTGAAAGCATCAGGAGTTAGCAAAACAACAACAGATATTCTTGCAACAGACTACAGTAAAATGAATGTTCACTTCTGTTCAGATCTACAACAAAACCAAAGGTAATTGCTATGACACTGATTACAATGTATCAACCTACATCGACAGCAGAGCTAAGCTTCTACATTTTCCCTTTCCATAGAGGACTGCTGCAAATATATGCAACAAATAATTTGGGAAATTATATAAACAAGAAACTGTAAATTAGAAAGTGGTTTGTTCTGGTCTTTCCTTCTTACTTTTTTTCCACTTTTCTTTTTCAAAGGCCACAGAATACTTTTTTCTAAAAATCTCTGCTTCCATAAGATCAATGATACAATGACATCAAAACATAGTAATTTCTATTTGCAAAAACAGTTTTCTCCCTTATATAATAATACATTTCATATAAGATTTTATCTCACCTGGCCAGTTCTTTAATTAAATTTGCAATGCGTCTTTTGTCTTCGAGACATAAATCCTTCAACGACGCACTCTTTATTCCTCCCCTGCGGAAATTCTAATACAAAACAAAACAAAAAAAATCATTTGGTTAACTTTTGCTAAAAACAATTTTTAAGACTTTTTGAGAGGGCGTCTGGGTGGCTCAGTTGGTTAAGCGACTGCCTTCGGCTCAGGTCATGATCCCGGAGTCCTGGGATCGAGTCCCACATCAGGCTACTGGCTCAGGGGGGAGCCTGCTTCTCCCTCTGACCTTCTCTCCTCTCATGCTGTTTCTCTCTCTCTCTCTCTCTCTCTCAAATAAATAAATAAAATCTTTAAAAAAAAAAAAAAGACCTTTTGAGAAATCTCTTAAAATTAGCACAGGAAGTAAAATTTTTCAGATTATCTTTTCTCTGGTGGTACACTTTTTTTTTTTTTTAAGATTTATTTATTTGAAAGTGAGAGACAAAGATAGTGAGATAGACCATGAGCGGGGAGGACAGGGAGAAGCAGACTCCTGTTAAGCAGGGAGCCTGACGCATGGCTTGACCCCAGGACCCTGGGATCATGACCTGAGCCAAAGGCAGATGCTTAACCTACTGAGCCACCGAGGTGCTCTGGTGGTACACTCTTTACCTGTTTCATTCAAACTTACTATGAATTCAAAACAGGCTAAGGAACTGTCTGTCCAGCAGGGGACATCATAACATTTACATAGAGAAGACCACAATAGGCAGAAATGACCCTGTTTAAATATTAGGGATTATTAAGGAAACAACGTTCCCTTGGTGAATGTCACAAAACACCTCATGGAGGACACTGAGAACTTTTCCTACGCTACAGCCCGCAGGCTGCTTAAAAGTACACTAAGGCTGACAGCAGAGACACCAGTTTCCAAGTTCTCAATATATCCTAAACTTCATTCCAATGGGTACTAGACCAAAGAGTAATAATAATAGCTAACACATATCTCATGCTTACTGCATGTCAGGAACATTATAAGTACTTTACACTTACTAATCTGGCCGATTTGCACAACAGTGCTATGAATTAGATATTATTTCTATTTACGGTGAGGGGATATCTTTCCTCAGATTAAAGCAGTTAAAGTAGCAGAACCAGGACTCGAGCACACATCCAGAGTATGTGCTCCCAACCACTGAACTAGCCTATCTCTTGTGCTATAAAAAGTTCTCCTAGTACTTGAATTTCATTAAGAGGGGTCTTTAAAGCAATGAAACTCAGCGAGTCCCAGGGAAACTACAGGTAACATGTAAATGGAAGGAACCCTAGGCATTTGTACAATCACAAAGTAGGTTAGTCCAATTTCTCCAGGTAGCCAAGGACAAAACAAGACCTCTAAAATGAGTCCTGGAAATATTGATAGCCATAGATGGGAAAGATCAGGGAGAAAAAGGAAATGGGGAGAAAGGAGATGGTAAGAAAATAAAATGAGTTTGGTTTTGGATATGGTCAACTTGAGATGCTAGGAAGATAGTCATAAGGAAATGTTTAGGAAGGAAGTTGGAAAAATGGGTCTGGCTCTCAAGTCAGAGAAAAATATAAAGATTTAAACTTTAGTCATAGGGTATAATGGATGATATTTAGATTTTTATTATTTTCTTTATACTTCTCTATGTTTTAGATTTTTCCTTAATGTTAAAAAATAATAGTTTTTAAAAATCATCTATGAATCCAAGATAATAAATTAAAGGACAAAAGAGAATCAGAAGGATATAATATTGTGGGAGAAAAAATGTTTCAAGAAGAGCACAGGGTTAACAGTGCTAATGATCAAAAAAACCTACACAGAATGTGGAAAGCAGCCACTCAATTTGGCAACAGAAAAAGTTGCTGAAAACACACAAGAAGACATCTTAGTGGTGCAGTGAGTAAAAGAACAAACAAGAGAAACCCTTGCACATGGGCAAGAATTTCAACCGCACTGTGTTTGACAGAACGTCCTTGAAAATACAGATGTTGGGGCGCCTGGGTGGCTCAGTTGGTTAAGCGACTGCCTTCGGCTCAGGTCATGATCCTGGAGTCCCGGGATCAAGTCCCACATCGGACTCCCTGCTCAGCAGGGAGTCTGCTTCTCCCTCTGACCCTCCCCCCTCTCGTGCTCTCTATCTCTCATTCTCTCTCTCTCAAATAAATAAATAAAATCTTTAAAAAAAAAAGAAAATACAGATGTTTGTCAATTAGAGAATAAACTGTAGCATATTTAGACAATGGAATTCTGTAGGTATTGGTTGTTATGTTACTTATTGATTTTCATCTTCAAACCCACCCTTCCGAGCCCTCCTCTGTGGTGCTGGGTCTCAGACTCTAGGAACCTCATATCTCCTTTGCCAGACGGCTCTCTGTTAAAACCTGCCAATAGGAAGAACTAGAGGGAGACCAAAGGTTGCCTGAAAAAGAAGAAAAGACACAGTCCTTCCTATTTACATCTCATTCCCACTAGTGTCATCCCTGCCAGAGTATGCTGACAAGGATAGCAGATTCCAGATTCCAATTTTCCTGGCCCTGGCAGAACCAGCCTTTAGCATGTCTCCTCGGGGACCGCAGTATCAGTGAGGCTGGTTCCCCATCATCAGAAGTCTATGTTCCAGCTCTAAAGGGCCCCTCCCCCAAGCATCTAAGATTTAATAAATCCAACTTGCTCTGGCTGTTTTCCTAGCCCTAGAGATGGGAGTTGTTTCTTGCCGTTATTACCTACATGATATCTTGGTGTTCTCTGTTTACTTTTTCAGCTCTCTAGCACCAATTTAGCAAGTCTCTATATTAAATATTCTCAGTAAAAAAAAAAGTGACTAGACTCTGGCTGAAATATAAGTGAAAATAAATGACATACAATGGGGCGCCTAGGTGGCTCAGTTGGTTAAGTGCCCAACTCAGGTCATGATCTCATGGGTCATGAGATTGAGCCCCACGTTAGGCTCCATGCTCAGCTGGGAGCCTGCTTAAAGATTCTCTCCCTCTGCTCCTCCCCCAACTCTCTCTCTCTCTCAAATAAATAAATAAATAAAAGAAATGACATATAGCTATATACAATTTAAGTAAATCTCATGAACATATGTTGAGCAAAAAAAGCAAATGATACAATACACATAGTATGAGCTTATTTATGTAAAGTTCCAAATATATTTAACACTGAACATTGTTTAAAAAATAATTATGTATTTAGATTATATTGGACAAGGGTTGGTAAACTACAACTGCAAGCCGAAACTGGCTCACTGCCTATTTTTGTTAAGTAAAGGTTTATTAAAACACAGCCACGTACATTCATTTACACATTGACATATATATGGCTCTTCACACTATAGTGGCAGAGTTGAGTAATTGAGACAGAGGTCACATGGCTCACAAACATTAAATATTTATTAACTGGCCCTTTACAGAAAAAGTTTGTCTACCCCTAACATTAAGGGAAAAAAAAAAAGAATGATAAACACAAAATTCAGGATAGGGATTACCAAAGCAGATGACAGACTAAGGGAAGGATATACCTCTACAGCCACTTGGTTTACAATGGCATCGTTGCAATTTAAATAGGGAGAAGAATGGTCTTCTCAATAAATAGTGCAGACCAATAGACTGTCAGTATGGAAAAATGAACTAACACCACCATACCCACAATAATTCCTGATGAACAGATTTCACTGTGAGAAGTAAAACAATGTGGCTTCTAAAAGAGAGAGAGAGAACCTGCTGCAAAGAGTGCAGTTGGCTAACAGCCTCACCTAAGCACTGCCATACCTTCAGATCCACTGTGGTGTTCATACCAGTGCCAGTGACTGGAAACAGCAGAGGTACTAGAACTGAGCCATTTCTGTCTGACATGGCATCCTTAAAGAACAATATTTGTTCTGGGGTTCCCCATTAGCCTGACAGACACTACTTCTGACTGCAAGGCAGTATGAAGTGTGAGGTTTTTCCTAGTCAATTTTTCTTCTTTCTTTTTTCTCTCACAGATGCTAGACCTGCAATAAAATCCTAAGGCTCTCCTTGTCTATTCCTGTTCACTTTATTCTCTATCCTATGTCAGCTTTTCCTCCACTAAATCTCTTCCATTTTTACTTTCATCTTAGTACCTACTTCCCAGAGGACTTGAACTGACATAATTACCATTTTGAAAACCTTAATGAATTAAGGACCTAGCTATTGAATATCATTGGCTACAAAGATCACATACAGAAAAAATATAAGACATTATTTCTCTGAAGAAAAACACAGACAACATCTATCTAGTTTTGAGAAAAAATGCATATGCATACACACACACACACCCCCCACACACATCATTTCTAGTTTTGCAACAAAATAAATACACACATACACAACCTCTACATTCCACTTCTGGGCAAAAAGGAGTAATAGGAACCATGCTTACCCTGCTGCCTAAAACAACCAAAAAACCTGACAAAATATATGAAAAAGCAGTTCTCAAACACTGGACAACAGGCAGCACAGGAAAGTGATCACTGAAAAGAGGGGAACCAAATAAGGTGAGCCATGCAATTATCCTAGCTAAACTGCCTCCGGAGTTTTCAGGGTGCAATCTCCCCAAGTTGAGAAGATAGAACTGGGAGTCCAGGAGAGCCAAACTGTCTAGAATTTGCAGGGCAGAGTCATGGAGAGGATAGAACTTCACAGAAAGAGAGTTCTATGGATCTGCAGAGGGTTCCCTGCACATCAACCACTTAGTACTGATTAGAATTTGTCTATGAGGAAACCCACCAAAAGCCAAGGAAAGAACAAATGAGAATGTGAGAATAATTTCTGTAGCTAATACAGTGTCATCAATAGTCCATGTTCCCACCAGCCAGAGTGGAACATCTCATAATTCAAGGGGCATCAGGAAGAGTACTCAGAGGGCCACTGCCTATAGAGGGCAAAATTAGCCCTATATTAAAAGCTGCTCTAGTGTCACCTTTAAAAGCTTAAACCCGGCACCTGGGTGGCTCAGTTGGTTAACAGACTGCCTTCAGCTCAGGTCATGATTCTGGAGTCCCAGGGTCTAGTCCTGCATCAGGCTCCCTGATCAGCAGGGAGTCGGCTTCTCCCTCTGAC